TATTTACCTGTAGGAATTATGGATTGAAAAATAAGTTTTGAGGATAGTTAGTTCTCTCCGAACATTGAGCGATAACGGTTGGCTGTCTTTCTGATCGTGGATTCGTTCTCTTATCCAAGTCTGTTGTCGTTTTACTATTCCTAACGTTTAATATTAACGATATCTTATTTTATTAACATTGTTCATCGTATTAGTTCAGTGTGTTAATTAAAATTATAATTGTTAATAATTAAATAATGATATTAAATTATACTTCGAGTGTAGTGACTATATAATATTGTGTGTGTGTGTGTGTGTGTGTGTGTGTGTGTGTGTGTGTGTGTGTTACGCATAAACAAACATTGTTACAAGAAACTATAATTAAGTATTAATAAAGTTGTACGATATTTGTATCATCTGGATATTGTTAATTAATAATAAAATGTCTCAAGATAATAATAATAGCGTGCGCCCTTCTCAAATAAACGCTATTCCGACATCAGAAGTGGGATCAGAATCATTTGCTGCATTCTCCTCTGAGCAATTTAAAATTGTTTTTGGGAATGCATAGAAAAAGTCTTGTAAAGCTAATGAATAAGGCTATCACAAAACCGGCGTCATTGAATCGTAGTTTTTCTCTACCAAAATTTAACCCGGTGAAATTTCAAACACTGATTCGTTTACTTGGTGTGTGACAGTGAATATGTGTTTAGTGGAACGTTTTCTGGAAGGTAGTTCGTTATTATTCCACTAAGTGAAGCTCTTCAGGGAATCTCAGAAGCTGTGAGTAGATTTTTGCCCCGTTGCAGCTCTGTCAGGTTCTGTGATACGTCGTGGTGAGTCGTTTTCATTTTGGTTTAATTCAGGAGCGGAATGCTCATTGATTAGAGGAAGTGTTGCGACTAAGATCGCGTGAAAAGGGAAAATAATTTGATAATTATTGAGGGCATTGGAAATGTTAGCGTGAACTGTATTATACGAATTTTGTTTGGCATAACTATTAAAAGCCATAAGTTAAAGATACTTTCTCATACTATCACAAACGATTATTTAAAATGTGACATATTGGTTAGTCGTAAAATTCTTGGGCAAGAATTTGATGTAAATATAATTTCAAATAATTTTAACTTATCTAAAAGTAGACAGGTTAATACGTGTAATAAACTTGAATCTATTAGTAAATTACATTTTTAATTCTTGTTGATACTGACGTAATTAGAGATGATAAAGAGAAACTCATTTTGATCTTAAAAGAATATACAGATTCATTTATTCAGGGGTTTTCAAGTACTCGTGTTAGTACTGGGGTACTTAAAATACGTTTAGTTGACCCTAATGTTACTGTACAAAGGCGACCGTATCGTCTTAGTGCTGCGGAAAGGCAGATAGTACGGGATAGATTAGATGAATTATTGAAAGCTAATGTTATTCGTCCGAGTTGCTCTTCGTTTGCAAGTCCTTTATTATTGGTTAGAAAGAAAGATGGTTCGGATCATCTATATGTTGATTATCGTTCATTAAATGATAATACAATTAACGATAAATTTTTATTACCCCTTATTGCTGATCAGATAGCCCAAAATTCTAATGTAAAATATTTCACGTGCTGAGACATAGCTAGCGGATTCCACCAAGTCCCTGTTGAAACAGAATCGATTGAACAAACGGTATTTGTAACGTCTGATAGAAAATATGAATATTTGACCATGTCATTTGGCTTAAAGAACGCACCGTCTATCTTTTAACGTGCTGTTGTATGAGCCCTCGGATAATTTGCGTATACCTACATCACTGTGTATATGGATGATATTATGATTATAGCTTCAACTATCGAGGAAGCGTTAGACAGACTTCAAAAATTAGTTGTTATTCTCGTTAAATCCGTATTCTTTGTTAATTTTTCAAAATGCTCGTTTCTCAAAACTCACAGGTAACGAAACCCTTATACCCTCTGACCTCAGGTAGCAAAAGAAATATTGAATGGACTGAGGTACATGAAAATATCCGTCAGAAAATAATTTCTGTATTGACTAGTGAGTCTGTACTAATGATCTTCAATCCGAACTTTCCTATAGAGTTGCATACAGATGCTAGCTCTGAAGGCTATGGGGCTATATTATTGTAAAAATTTAATGGTTCAAATAGAGTTGTCGAGTATTATAGCAAAGCTACTAGTTCAGCTGAGTCACGATATCATTCATATGAATTAGAGACTCTAGCTGTATTTAACGCAGTAAAATTTTTTCCGCTATTATTTGCATGGTCGACCGTTCGTAGTAATTACGGATTGTAATTCGTTAAAAGCCTCTCAGAAAAAGGCTGACCTAACACCAAGAGTTCACCGTTGGTGGGCTTTCTTACAGACTTTTAAATTTGATATTGTGTATAGAGAAGGTAAACGAATGGCTCACGCTGATTTCTTTTCGCGTAATTCTATTACGGAACAATTGCGTAGCAATTCAGATGAAATTTTACAGGAACACATAAATTTGACGGAAATTTCCAATGATTGGCTCCTCGTTGAGCAGCGATGCGACCCAGAAATTAGTAAGATAATAATTGATCTAGAAAATGATGAAATTGGGTCCGATCTTGCTAAAATCTATGAAGTACGGTCAGGGATCACTCCACCGAAAAATCCAAAGGCGAGGTAAAACATTATGTTTAACTATTGTTCCACGTGCTTTTAGGTGGTGGGTAATAAATCATGTGCACGAGTCAATTATGCACTTAGGGTGGGTGAAAACACTTGACAAGGTTTGCGAGTATTATTAGTTTGAAGGAATTACGAAGAATGTTCGTAAATTCATTGATAACTGTAATACCTGTAAAGTTTCCAAGTCAAGCTCAAGGCAAAGTACAAGCAGAGCTTCATCCTATTCCTAAGACCAGCATCCCTTGGCATACAGTGCACATGGATATTACAGGTAAATTAAAGGGTAAAAAAAAACGATTTAAAAGAATACGTTATTATTTTGATAGATGCATTTACCAAACTTGTTTTATTATGTCATACTCGAAAAATAGATCGTTTCAATACTATTAAGGCTCTGAAAAATGCTATATCATTGTATGGCCCACCGACCCGTATAATTGCAGATTAAGGTAGATATTTCACAAGTAAAGAATTTCAAGAGTACTGTACCTCACAAAATTCAAAATTACATCTTATAGCTATGGGTTCAAGTCAGGCTAATGGCCAGGTAGAATGCTTAATGAGTACCCTAAAAAGTATGTTTACTGCAGCCGAAATGAGTGGAAACTCTTGGCAAGCAGTTGTAAACGAAATTCACTTAGAAATTAATTGCACTACTAATCGAGTTACTAAAGCTAGTCCGTTAGAATTGCTAATTGGTACAGTAGCTAGACCTTTTGATATGATAGTTGATCAAGGCGATAAAGAAATTAATATCTCTGACGTACGATGAGAAGTGATTGATAACACAGAAGTTAATGCAAAATATGATAAGTAGATTTGATCAGAATAAAGCAATTTAGATGTGTTTCCTTTACACCATTTGTCCAGTGTGACAGTGGAGTCTAAAGCAATTTAGATGTATTTCCTTTACACCACTTGTCCAGTGTGACAGTGGAGTCTAAAGCAATTTAGATGTGTTTCCTTTACACCATTTGTCCAGTGCGACAATGGGGTCTAAAGCAATTTAGATGTGTTTCC